ACGGGCTAAATTAGTGTAATCTGAATGAGGTTTTCTTGAATATGGTAGTTTCAGCCAATAAGAAAACGTATCCGCCGCAAGCCTCTGCGGCATGACAGACAATGAGGATATGGCCATCTGAATCGATACAGCCAATCCCCCATGATTAGGTCATCCATTAGTTCACTTGATCTTTCAGCCCTCTTACATTGCATCTGATGAAAATGTAATCGTTCAATACTTGCTGGATGATTAGTCTAAATCCCCGCTTCTCATAGAGTAGCAGCGAGGATGTTTTGATGCAGCATATGTAAATAAGCTCAGCTTTGTATTTTGGTCATGGTGCCAGAGTCAGGGGGACAACAACTCCCCGGTATCATCCCTTGAACATCAAGGCCCCTCTGCTGTCTCTGATCCCCAACTCTCTGCAGCCTTGTGAACTCGAAATGCACCGCGATGCATGTCTGCGTATAGTTTGCTATGCAAAACCCATGCTGCCTGACCCTCACTGTGCGAAACACTGGCCCTGATGTGTCTGAGCTTAAAAGAAGAAAAAAAAAAATCAATCAACAGAAGAATTAAAATGAAATAAAGAACAATTAAGAGGGCATTTTAACTTGCGTGCAAATGTCTTGATTCAATTATGGAGATGGGCAGAAGTCAGAGATGAATTAGAACAACCACTAAATGGAATTGAGCTCGATGATAAATCAGGACCCAGCTGTCAAGATCAAGGTGTGAAAAGGTCACTTGCTTTGAATCATTGCTCTGCCAGAGCTTAAGAATGCGAAGGCCTGCACAGTGTAGTGGATTTCATAAACTCAAACATTTGCACATATCACTGCGGATCTTCTTAGCAGTATCTACGCAGTGAGAGCCTCCAGATCACTTCACGTAAAGTTCCTCCTTATTCTGCTCTGTCTGCTGTGCTTTCTGCTCTGGCTGTTTTAAGCACGAGGTTTGGGCACCGGTGTTTTAAAAAGCTGACATCTGTTAGGACATCGCTTTAGATGTGCACAGAGCAACACTTTTTTTTTTTCTTTAAATGTCCACTGGGGAAATCAATACCTTGTTTAGAGGTGAAATTGGCCAGTCAATGGTACAATCATCTCTTTTCAATGACTGTAAAAAGCAGTTACTGGAATTATAACGTCAACTATCTTTTAGCAGGTCAGAGACTAATCAGCAATTAACAGTCAATTATCCAATTTCTTTGCTGGTATAAGTATCAGCTAATGTACTTTATATCCATGCATTATGCATTATCAGTTAGAGCAGCGATTCTACCCCAACAACAAGGGACTTCTATCCCAGGATCCCAGGAGACTGTGAAAATGTTGTAGTGCAGCTCAACTAAAAAAAAGAAAATAGTATCTGCACGTATATATTCTTGTTCAGTTAGCATTAATAGTGCTGTATATTTTGATGGAAACTGCAAATGTAAATGTGAAGTGAGTTCACTTAATTCACTTCGGGTCATTTCTGTTTTATTTGTATAACCTAATATTACATACAGAGGGCTCAAAAGGTCTTCACAGGCATAAAAACACATTAAAAAACAAGGTCACTCACATAGTAAAACGGGAATTTAAGCAAGCAAGCAAACCATCACAAATACACAGACATACAAATGCATTAATAAAAATAAACCATACATGAGATCCAAACATGGAAACGTGAGAAAAGAAACAATCTTGGGAGTAACAAAAGCAGAAAGTATCTGTGATATTGATAAAGGAGATATGCATAAAGGTCTTATCCACCTGATTCCTAAATATGGCTGAACTCAGTGGGTACGACTGTACAGTGGTCCTATTATTATTATTATTATGAAGTGGAAGCACTAGTTCAGATGCCAGATGTTAAAGGTGTGTTTTTAAGAGTTTCCTGACATTATCCGTAGAGTTCATGAACAGGTAGAAACAGAGGCTTCAAGCCTGACTGCTCACCACTGTTTATGTTTGTCAGGTGTATCGTCGCTCCGGGTTCTTGGCTAGATCTGTGTTCAGATGATGTCTGTGCAGTGGTTACAACGAGCCGACGTTGTGTTTGCAGTATAATGCAGTTGTTTCTGTCTTGGACGCAGTTTCCACTTTAGGGTTGCACTCTTGTCCTTTTGTGCGATAAAAAGAAAATATCCACATCTCCACTCCCCAAAATTGAGGTTTTTGAGTGGGGTTGCACCACTCCACCATTTTCCTCCTCCTCCCAGCATAGGAATGAAGTCACTTGAGTAAGTGACAAGGCAAGAATGAAAACAAAGTCACAAGTTTTTACTTTATGTCCACCTGACGGACAGATAACTGAAGAATCTTTGTAATGCCGGTAACGACATAATTGTAATTGATTTTAGTACTGTCATGTGTTACATTATTGCATTGCTGAAAAATGTAATGTGATTACAGTAATCTGATACTTCATAACAAGTTACCCCCACCATGGTGAGGAGTACTGTGTATCTAAAAGGGTTAACAGTGGAGGATCTAAGAGTGTGAACTGGGACATAGAGAAACCGACTGGTAGTGTATGAATGGTGAATACAAGACTAATGGATACCTTTGAGGGTGTTCTGTGATATCAAGCAACAAGACATTAGTAGCAGATCCTTAAGTCCTGTATGTCATTAGGTGGTTTTAAGTTTTCAGCACATACCAAAGAGGTTTGAGATTGAGAGCTGGGTAATTTAAAGGTGAACACTGTCTCACAAGTTCGTTTCTATGCCTTAGGATTTTTTTGCAGCCTGCTGAAAGAGGCAACGTCCACCAGGATTTACTGATTCCATGAAGCTGTGTATCTGGCCTGCGACAATGACAGTACAGTAAGTAGCATTCACACGAATACAGGGATCCAAGATTTCCCAGGAGAAAATACACAGACCTTTGCCCCCCATCCTCTGGCATCCTGCTGTCATCTTTCCTGGATAAAAAAAA